TTGAAAAAGCCCCTTTCAGATATCTTTCCAAGGATTAACCATAGTTGAGTCTCCTCTGTTCAGAAATAGAACAAACCAAGAACCATCCAAACTGCTAAAATTCAATCTTGCTTTGAATTTTATCTAATTCCATAGGAACAAGTACTATAATTGTTATTAATTTAAAAAAAAAAATCTTACTGTACATAGTAATATTCAAAAGTTACATATAAAATGATTAAGGAAGTATTCAGAATAGTAACCACTTCACACATTTACTGTAATTTATGTAGTCGTCCATGGAGCCTGATAGCAATAGTACTTATATATTACTTCAAAGTTCTTTACAACCCTCTTTAAGTGGTTTACAGAGTCAGTATATTGCCCCCAGCAATTTGGGTCCTCATTTTACCGAACTCAGAAGATGGAAGGCTGAGTCAACTTTGAGCCTGGTGAGATTAGAACTGCCAAATTGCAGGCAGCCAGCAGTCAGCAGAAGTAGCTTGCAGTACTGCATTCTAACCACTGCGCCACCGTGACTCTGATGTTGTTTATGGGGCCTGATTTGTAATACACCCTTACATTTATTTAATTTCCAGTTTCCAGGGCTGGAGGGAGTCAATACTTTTAAAATGAAAGCACTTGATAATCTAAGCAGCCATGATCTGCCATGGTCATGAATCTTGTAGGAACACAAACTTTTCCAAGGTGCATCTCAACTGTCCTCTCATAAGAGCAAATGTAACATGAATGCTATGATAAACCACTGTCTAATTACCCAAGAACTTTCCAATTCTCACCCTCAGTTTATTATCTCCCATTTTTAAAGACTGGGAAGCTGTTGACTGTATTTATCCAATCATTTTTCCATTCCATCCTTTATCTCTCCTCCTTCTATTTCTCTCCTCCTTCTGTAATTTCTGTATAGTAAAACGTGTCCCAAAAGATTTCTTCCATTAACCAAAATCTAACCTCCTGTAAATGGAATTTACAGTATGTCTGACTTTTGTGCTGCTGGATACTAACAAGTGAAAGTTGCTTCCATCAGCAAAACCATTTGACAGAATTCAGCAAATGCCTTGCTGGTCAACAGCTTTATAGACTGTTGCAATATTGCATATTGCTTTTAACTTCTTAGGCGTATCACAGATTGTAAATTAATAATCTTCTGGAACTTTGGATGGAATGGAAGAGAATAAACTTTATTAACATTGGAGAATCTCTGTAGCTCCGGGTTGAACTGTGGAGGCCTTGGTGCTCTCTGAGCTTGGTGTTTGGTTGCAGACATTTTGTTACTTCGCTAAGAAACATTTGCAGTGTTAGAAAAGAGTTGAGTTGCTCTCAATTTGTTCCTTCCATGCTTCTATTGTTACACAAGCCCAGCATACCTCTTCACCTTGGACATCTCACAGAGGGGATCAAATATTCTATCCTCTCCCCTGTACGATGACTTAAGAAAATCAAAGACCTAATATTAAAAGAAGATTAAATTATGATTTCATTTGATGTCACAGCACTCCTTGCATGCACAGACTAGAGCTAAAGAAAAAAGTCCATGATAGAAGTACTGCATAACCACCTGACCTACCCAAATACACTAAGATTGAAATACTCAGAATCACTTCATCAACTTCTACTTCCCTACCTATTTTCAGTTTAATGGACAAATATACCAACGTATCAGAGGAATACCCATGGGATCTCTACTCTCAGGAATCGTAGCAGGCACTCTAATGTAGCCTCTCGAAAAACCACGACACTTCCAGACATTCAGCTAGAAGAAACAATAGGAGTGATCTACAATATACAGTGTAATGGATGTAACAGCCACTTTGTAGGACAAACAGATTAAAGACTAGCAGAATGCATCCATGAACATAAACCAACTGTCAGAAGGAATGATGAAAACTCTTTAATTTTACAACACAGAGACAGTCTTAATCATAATTTTAACTGGGACAGAAATCTAAAATGGTAGGGAAGCTTGGTAATCAGACAAATTAACCATCAACAGGCAAATTGAGATAAACAACATTTACACACAATTCAAGAGAGACAAACAAAGGCTAAAACGGAAACAAAAAGACCAGAACACCTTGTCAGCAATCAATACTCAGTTAAGCAGGGATTAACACCAGATAAACAAACAAGCAATAGACAACAATCTTATCAAGCTACTACTAAGCAGAAAACAAGTACTCCACCAAACTCTGACGCGGCAAGCTACTGTATATGAACAAAGAGCAAATCCCATTCTCTTCTAGCAGAGTAGTAGTGCTGAAGTTTATCAAGTTAACTAAACATATGAAACATACTATTTATAAAACTTGTCTACCGTATTTGCTATTTTGATTGATTGCACATGAGTATAAGTAAGAAAACGAAGAACTTTGAATATCTTTCAGGGTCTGGCTTGCTCATAGAAGGGCCAGCTTAAAAGAATGTGACCAAGACTTTTGTTGCCATCTTGCCACATAGACATAGTTTTATATCTTATATCTGCTGTTCAGAAGGACAGAGGGGAAAAGATTAATGCATGCCCTGGAAAAGGTCCATCTTTGTTTATAAGAAATAAGATTGTATAAATAATTGGCTACAACATCAGTAATATCTTCCACCAGCTTGGGCCAACTATGGTGTTGGTATGATGGTGTTTTCCTAGGACCTCCCAGTTGTAATTATTAAGAGTCATTTGACTTCCAATTGATGGATTAGCGCCAATGTATTGTGTGTGTGTGTATGTGTGTGTGTGTGTGTATGTGTGTGTGTGTGTGTAGGAAACAGAGCAATATATAAATGGTTAATGAATAATGTTCAAAGATGTATCTCTGTATCTCTGTTGTTTTAATAGACGATGCAGTCAAAGCATTTTCTATTGTGAGGATACAAATGCCTACATCAACTGTATTTAGTTTGCATTAATTTACCCACCCATAATAATGATTAATGACTTTGAAAGATTAAAGACGGTCTGAAACAAAATTGCATATTTGAGCTACAGGCCTTTAAGCAGATTATAACTATCTGTGCAAAATATCTCTAAGTGAAACAGGTAAGTTTGGCCCCAAAGTTACAGGGCTGGCTCAGAACCTGTGATAAATGCAGTCATGATAAAAACAAAAACAAACAAACCCATTTTTAATTCAGAATATCCTATAAATCTAGGTCACCCTTGAATATTAACACCACTTCAGAAGGTAAGGTTATGGGTGGTGGAGGTAGAAATTGAGAACAGAAGAAATTTGTGACCTAAACAAGAACCATTTAAGGGGGCGGAAAAAAACACAGCAGATTGAATGGGAATAATTTCCATTCTTCCTTTCCTTTCCTTTCTTACCCATGCTTGCTTGCTTGCTTGCTT